TATGAATGGACCTCTCAAATTTTAATATTAACTTTAATCTCGCTCTCTGTGCACTTTCTCTGCAGCTGTAACATTGTATTCCTCGCTGTGTTCTATTACCCTGATGCACTTTGAATGGTATGATTTGCCTGTACTGCACGCATAACAAAACTTTTCACTGTACCTAGGTATATGTGACAATAATAAATCAAATTAAATATTCATAAAGGCCTCAGCTATAATAATAGACCTTGAGAAATGTTAACAAGGAACCTGTTGAAACTGCAGAAATAGGTTTTTAACTTAGACCAGATGGTCTGTCAATTAAAACAGTCCAGTTGGTGGAGGAAGGTAGTCTGTTTGAACTCAATAATTTCAAATGGCCCTGCTGAGTCCAGGTTTCTGGCTAACTTGATTCATGCCTTGCACCATAGACCATTGGATTTGTCAGAAATTGGAGCTGGACTTTGGAATCCAACCCCAACCTGCCACCATTAAAAGTTTCCAACTGTTTCCTTCTCTACAGTTACTGCCTGACCTGCTGAGTGTTTCCAGCAACATCGAGCATTGTTTTAGATTCAGTGTTCACTTTTGTCTCTGCTTGTCTCAGAAAACAGGCGATTTGAATACGAATGCCTGATGTGTATAAAATAATGAGGGGCTTGGATAGAGTGGATAGGGAACATCTGGTTCTTCTAGGGAGTTTGGTAGCTCAGTTGGCTGGCCTGATGCAGTGGCGCCATCTGCATGGGTTCAATTCTGGCTGAGGTTACCATGAAGGATTCTCCTTCCTCACCTCTCCTGTCACCTGGTGACTTTCAGGTTCAACTCACCACCAGCCGTCTCTCTCTCTCTCTCTTTCTCAAATAAGAGAGCAGTCCTATGGTCCCTGAGGACGATGGTGACTTTACCTTTACCTAGGCCAGACGTGAGGGAAAACATTTTCACTCAGAGTTTGGCTGAGGATGTCTGAAATTTGGTGGTTGAGGCAGAAACACTCAACTCATTTGAAATTAAACATGGATTTGCACTCAAAAACCATAATCAGTGATGCCATGGAGCAGGTGCTAGTGTAAAGGACTGGAATGGACTCATGGCTAGTTTAAACAGCTAGTATTGACATGATGGGCTGAATGGCATTTCTGTGATGTAACCTTTCGATAGTTCTTTCGCCTGTCAGAATCTTGAAAATTTGATGTGAAGCATAATGGCAAAGAATTAATTTATCAAGGGATCCAAATAGAAAGGTAAATCTAGAGCAGGGCTTCCCAAATTGGAGTCTGGCACCCCAAATCGGGTCATGAACTGAAATTTCAATGTTGCGAATGCCACCCTAGAAATCTGACACAGTTACCCTCAGCAGTGCCCCTGCTCAAACAGGGCTCTCTTCCCCCTTCCTCCTCTTCTCCCAAACCCATTGTCAATTCTCATCAAGGGCTTATGACACTAATCAAGCCTCAAAATGGGGTCATAGTAGGGAAACATTTGGGAACACTCTGGAGAGATAGCTGGAAAATAGATAGCATTTCACACAAGGAAACATCCACAGACATGTGCAATAATTTACCGAAGGCGACAAAAAGGATGTTAATAAGTTTCAGAAAGGGAAAAAATCTTCTGGAGAAAGAATAATGGGACATTTGGTGGGAAGGTATACAGATGGGTCTGCGATCTAGCGACTGTTTTCATTAGACCTTTCTCTGTTTTAAAACTCTGAGCTAACACAGGCTAGTTGGCAGGACAGAGTATTAACTTCTAATATATATTCCTGGAGCTGGCAACTACATCAGTCAGACTGGACAATGCAGTGAACATGGAAACAGATTTTAATCAAAAGCTGCTTTTTATATTCAAAAGGATCCAATAATAGTGTTTGATGTTTAGCATGGCTCTATCTCAGTAAGAATTCATCAGATCTGTAAACAAACACCCACTCAGTACCAACCACATATAAAATCTGCACTGCATCAGTTCTCACTTTTTAATTGAGTTCGGTGCACCATGTGCACGACAAATAGAATTTATTTTGCTCAATAATACATTTTAACAGCCTGTATTCAAAATTAGACGAAAGATGAGGTGCAAGGTAAAATGATAGAGAAGCAATGGCTTTTTAAGGAGATAGTTCATAAGTTGTAGAGTCATAGAGCTGTAGTGAGCATGGAAACAGACCCTTCGGTCCAACTCATCCATGCCGACCAGATATCCTAAATTAAACTAGTCCCATTTGCCCACATTTGGTCCATATGCCTCTAAACCCTTCTTATTTATATACCCATCCAGATGCCTTTTAAATGTTGTAATTGTACCAGCCTCCACCACTTCCTCTGGCAGCTCATTCCACACACACACCACTCTCTGTATGGAAAAAAGATGCTCCTTAGGTCCCTTTTAAATTTTTCCCCTCTCACCTTTAACTCTCCTACCCTGGGCAAAAGAACTTGCTATTCACCCTATCCATGCCCCTCATGATTTTATAAACATTTATAAGGTCACTCCTCAGCCTCTGACAATCTGTTCCATTGAGGAATAAAGACTATGCCAGAAGAATGCGCCATTTGTTTCTAAATAAGCAAGGATTGGGTGATACTAAATTGAAAGAAAATGTGTACAATGCTGCAAAAATTAGTGATAGGTCAGAAGATAAAGTAAAGTTTTAGAAACCAGCAAAGCATGACAAAAAACAATAATGAAGAGGGACAAGGAAGAGAAAACTAACAATACACATAAAAACACTAAGTTTATAAAAAGGAAGAGAATATCTAAAGTAAGCATTTTCACTAAAGTTGAGACTGGGAAATTACTCATGGAAAATGAGGAAATGGCAGATTCTTTCAACAAGTATTTTTGTATCTATCTTCACAGCAGAAGACACAGAAAACATGTCATGAATAGTAGAAAATCAAAAGGCAAAGAAGAAGTTTTGTACTGTTGTGAAACAGCGGGACTCATCAGTCTTAAGTCCCGTTAACGTTCCCATTACTTTTTCTCTTGTAATCATGATGGTTTATGTTCCTCCTTCCATAGTCATAGTCATAGAGTCATACAGCACAGAAACAGACCCCTCGAACAGACCCTTTAGTCTGTTCAGGTACACAATTCTTTGAAGTTTGTGTTCACATGTAGACAAGGTGATTAAGAAGGCATTTGGCATGCTTGCCTTCATTGCTGAGCCCACTGAGTATAGAGTTGGGACGTCATATTGAGATTGCACAGGACATTGGTGAGGCCTCTTCTGGAGAACTGTGTCCAGTTCTAGTCACCCTGTTATAGAAAGGCCGTTATTAAACTGGAGAGGGTTCAGAAGAGATTTACCAGGATGCTGCTGGGAATGGAGGGTTTGAGTTATGAGGAGAGGCTGGATAGGCTGGGACTTTTTTCACTGGAGTGTAGGAGTTTGAGAGGTGACCTTATAGAGGTTTACAAAATCATGAGGCATGTAGATAAGGTGAGTGACAGGTGTATTTTCCCTAGAGTGAGGGAAACAGGGGCATATTTTTAAGGTGAGAGGAGAAAGATTTAAAAAAGACATGTGGGGCAATTTTTTTTATATGGTTCACGTGTAGAATGAACTTCCAGCTGAAGTGGTGGATGAGGGCACAGTTACAACATTTGAAAGATATTTGAATAAGTACATGAATAAGAAATGTTTGGAGGGATATGGGCCAAGCACAGGCAGGTGGGACTGGTTTAGTTTGGGATTAATGGTGTCGTGGACGAGTTGGACCGAAGGGTCTATTTCTGTGCTGTATCACTCTATGACCCTATGATTATGGAAGGAGGAACATAAACCATCACGCTCATAAGAGAAAAACTAATGGGAACATTAATGCAACTTAAGGCTGACAAGTCCACTGGAAATGATGGGCTGCACTCTACGTCCGAAATGTTTAGATCCCAGCAAATTGGAAAATGTCAAATATACACCTCTGTTCAAGAGGGAGACAGGCAGCAGGAAACTATACATCAGCTAGACTAATGTCTGCCATTGAGAAATGTTAGAACCCATTATTAAAGTTATTAACCAGGATATTTGGTATATCAGAACACAAGAAGGAAGAGGTGCCATGCCAACAGTCCTGATGAAGGGTTTCGGCCTGAAACATTGACTTATGTACTCTTTGGATTCTGTCTGACCTGCTGTGCTTTTCCAGCCTCACACCTATAGAATCTGGTTTCCAGCATCTGCAGTCCTTATTGTCTCCAACAGTACAGATGTTGGCTGTTGGCATGGCATCTCTTCCTCAACTATATAGTGCAATTCCTGTAGCCTTATCACAGGAGCCTCCTACCACAGTAAAATAAAGGCATCTTGGACAGAGGAATTGTCCATCAAGTCTCGGTTTATTCTTGGGGTTTCTGTGGCCCGTCTAAACCATTCAACCACATCAGTTGTTGTGTACTTGGCTGTGCAATACCTGAACTGGGAAGATCCACCTCAAACCATGTTGATCACTGAGCAGAGAGGAACATTTCTGGATATTGGAAGCCTTTCCACTCAACTCCAGGTAATTGTGTTTTGACAATTCCTCAGCGATTGAAGGATGTTTATAACTGCTCCAAGCTCGTCATTTACATAATTTTACCAGTTAAACTCCAGCAGATTGGCAAATCTGGAATCTTCAACTAATGCTAGCCTGTGCCTATATTCTTTGGACTTAGATATTGGGATTTCTGAATAGTTTAAACCTGCAGTTAGGTTTCAATTGGTCAGACACCGGGCTGGTAAAAACAAAACATAACATTTTGCATCTCTACACAGCATTCATGCGTACTCTGCTAACATTCACAGAAAACAAATCAAATAAGCCCCTGTTTCCCAGCCTTGACTTCAACCAGTCTCCTTTCTTCTCCTAAGACACCTTAAGGGTCTAGGCCCGAAAAGTCAGCCTTCCTGCTCCTATGATGCTGCTTGGCCTGCTGTGTTCATCCAGCTCTACACCTTATTATCTCATAGTTATCAATGTGTTCACTCTTTTATCCTATAAACCTGACTAGATATACTTTAGTTGAATAGTTACCTTGGGATATTTTGGAACATCACGTTGCAGAGGCAGTTTTATAGGCTCCTCCACGATTGTGTGTTTGCAAGATGTGTTTGATCTGGCAGAAAGGAAAAAATGTAAACATTAGGGACACTCAGGTGGTCTCTGATCCAGGTATCGGCTGTGGTTCAGTATTTATATTTGCACCCAAATCAGAAAGGTAGTCAAATCTCACTTAAGACTTGAGCAGATAATCTGGAATGGCACTGCAATGGTGTACTGATGGAATGCTGCACTGTTGAAAGAGAGAGTAGCATTTTTCCAGTGAACTGTTCAACCCAGTCCCTGACTGCTCTTACTGGTGCCTATGTGAGATTCAAATAGTGCCACAGGGTTCCATTAAAATAATTTAATTTCCAGTCCATTCCTGACATTAGCTGGTGGCACTGACACTGTTTGTTTTATCATAATGTTTTCCTCTTATTAGGTGCAAAACAATATTTATTGACTACTTAGGTCTCTCACCTGCTGCTCAATGACAATTCATCCTTAAGTATCTTCAGGTCATTCTTACATTTCTCTATTTCCACCACCTTTAAACCTTCCACTGGAAACAAAATGGAAAATAACAGACACAAATTAAATGGTGTAGAAAAAAAATTGATTTTGAACTCATATTGTTACCATAGTTAAAGGCAAGATCTGAATTTTATGCCTTTTTTTTCTATCTTGAGATGTCAATTTCTGTTGGAGTCTATTGACAGCACAGGGTTGAGTTTTGGTGCTAAATTTCTCTCCTCCCATCTCTATTGCCTAAAAGGACTGTAATATTGGTTGACTTGAATGTGTCAATATTTTCTCATGATGATGTTTGGCCCAAAACCTCCAAGTTCAGTCAATATGACCAATGAATCAGGAGGAAATAAGAATCTGATGGACCTATGGCTTTATGCATGATTTCTCTGTGTGTGAGATTTATTGGGGTAACCCAGTAGTATGTCATAAAAGTATTGTTTCTCAGCCTCACATCCCAATCTTTTTTTTTCTGTTATCTCATTTCTCATTTGTACTCAAGGATTTGAAAATGAGGGCAATTTTGCACTAATAAAGGCACCATCCCACCAAGTGCCCGATCTCAAGACTTCAAAACCCTTACGGAGAAAGATGTCCAAGAAATTCAAAAGCAAATTTGCAGATGATACATCATCGCTGAATTATTTTGTTCTAACCTGACTGAATTTCTCATGATACTGGACAGTGGAGTAAATAGGTTCTCTCTATTAAATTCTAGCGTCATCTTAAAAACCTCAAAATTCGAAGAAATGAGAGTTTTCTCTATTTTATAAAAAATAGGCCACAGCATCATTTTAAACTTGCTTAATTTTTCAGGAAAGGTAACGCACGGTGACTCAGTGGTTAGCACTGCTACCTCACAGCACCAGGAACCCGGGTTCGATCCCACCCTCTGGCGACTGACTGTGTGGAGTTTGCACATTCTCCCCGTGTCTGTGTGGGTTTCCTCCAGGTGCTCCGGTTTCCTCCCACAGTCCAAAGATGTGCAGGTTAGGTGGATTGGCCATGCTAAATTGCCTGTAGTGTTCAGGGATGTGTAGATTAGATGGATTATAGGGGGATAGGTCTCAGTGGAATGTTCTCAGGGTCGGTTTGGACTTGTTGGGCCGAAGGGCCTGTTCCCACACTGTAGGAATTCTATGAAGTAACAGTTAATGTTATTTCAATGTACATCCCATCTCTTCTGTCTTCACCCTATTAGCAATCCACAAATATTGGCCACCTTCACATACCCTATCCAAGAAGACATTCTTCATGTGACTTCAGACAGAGAGTATTGACAGTTTGACTATGACCACAATCCTGTTCCATCTTAATACTCAGGTGTAAGCAGCTTTCAGGAGTATCCATAGTGTTGGGGCCCTGCCTGAGTTAGTCCCTGAGCCGAGAAGTACAGAGACAACTGCTGCAATGTTATTACCCTTGCTTAGAGCATTTAACTCTGCACAGCCTGGAGACTGAAGGCTGGGATCTTTCTAGGCTGCACTGTTCAGCAAAATGCAGTAGACAACTGAACCTTCAGGGCAACCAAAACAGGATTCATTTATCCTGAAATCTTGAGACTGGTGGCATGATTGATGTTGATAATTCTGCTGCTTCCATGTGATTCGCCATTGATAAATACTCACACTTATTGCAAACAACAAATAACATGTGTGCCACAAGCAGTTTAAAACCTGTGGAGGTTGTCTGTGAGGCTCGTTAATCTCAAATTCTTCAGGACTGCAAAATCCCTACCATAATAATTGGAAGTATCAGACCAACAGTCTAGAAATTCAACAGTTAATTCCAAATTACTACTTCAATTGAATCCTGGTTAAAAATAGTAGGTTACTGTTGAGTGGCTTCTTGATCTAATTTGTGTCTGAAGTTCATGTCTGAAGTTTAATGTCAATTTTGAAAGAGGCTCTTTGACTCCAAATAACTTTATTGTTCAGAAAATGGATAATCTGCACCTCCATTCATATTGACCATGAGTATTGCAACTGCTAATATCTGTGTGATTCATCGGCCTAGGGAAGAAACCAACTTTCCCTCTAAGCCATGAGGTCACACAGTCACTCCAAGGATCAGAGCTTCACGCACAAATAAAAAGCTGGAATGTAGGAGGAAATCTATCCATTCTATTGCCATGACATCCATCGCTATTAACACCAATACTATCTGCAGTGGGCTGCTTTAAGTTGTAAATGAAAGGTTCAAAATGCCAACTTACATTCAACCCTCTTTTCCAATGCTGCCAACCTGCTTGAGATTTCAGTTTTCAGGTCATTGACTTTGAAAATTCTGTAAGAAAAGCAAACTATAAACAGTTACAGAAAACTCAGTGCATCTGGTCACCTTTGCATTTTGACTTGTCCTGCTCAGTTGCTGAAACACCATCATACAATTAAGCTGTAGCTTATAGGTTCCTCTACTATCTTGTGTTAATTAAATATAGACACTGAATGGAAAGGAGTTTTCATACTCTCATGAAGGGAATTGGAGACTGTCATCTTTCTTGTTCTTGGTAATGCCTTGGCTGCCTTCAGTCTTTTAGCTGCAGAATGCTTAATGGTCCAGAAGGGTAAAGAGAAGGTTAAGTACAATGAATAGTTGACCTTCGAGGAAAATCCTCGATTCTGAACTGCTATCCTCGACCACGACCAAAGTGTATAAGTCTGAAAAGTTTGGATACTGTGATGTCCCTCATGTTGGATTAGGTTTCTAACATTCACTGTCCCAGCTCATGCGATCATGGGGCTATCAGTTCCACTGGATCTGCATCCCAGAATAGGCAACACCTTCAGCACAAGAGGAAAGCAAATTGTTGAAAATTCAAGGAAAGAATAATGATTGGTTACCTTGAAAACTGGTCGGCAACTTGCGTCAGAACATTTTGCATCAAGTCTTCTTCTTCTAGATGTACAGAGAAGGTGATTGATGACAGACATTAGAATGTTGGAGGCTTTTTTTTAACATTTCTCAGTTTATCCACTATCCCTTGGTGTTCAAAAATATATTCTTTATTATTTATTCAGGGGATGTGAGCATTACTGGCTGGACCAGCATTTATGGACTATCCCTAATCGTCCTTGAGAAGATAGTAGTGAACTTCCCTTTTGACTCAAAATGCTATTGGGCAGCTAACTCCAAGATTTTGACACAGTGACGCTGAAGAAATAGTGTTCTGTTTCCAAGTCAGGATGGTGAGTGGCTCAGAGGGAATCTTGCAGCTGGGGGTGTTCCCATTAACTTGATGCCCTTGTCCTTCTAGATGGTAGTAGTTGTAACTTTGGAAGGTGCTATCAAAGGAGCCTTGCTGAATTTCTGCAACGTATCTTGTAGATGGTACACACTGCTGCAGCTGAGTGTTGGTAGTGGAAGGAATGAACATTTGTATATGTGGCACAATCCATCAAAGACTTGAATATACTCAATGACTGGACATCCACAAACCTTTGAGCAGGAGAATTCTGAATATTCGTAACCTTCTCAATAGAGAAATGTCTCCTTATGTCAATGCTAAATAATATTCTTGGGCTATGATCTGCTGTTCTAGACTCTTTTGCCAGGGTCATGACCTGTCAGAGTCTAACTTCGAGGTCTAAGAATTTTAGAGATTTCAGTAAGATTGTTTCATTTTTGTAAATGTAAATTTTCAACTCAATGTTTCACCACAGGAGAAATACGCTCATCTCTGGCACCACAAAGCTGGATATTATGTTCATCCAACAGCAAAGTTCAGCATGTGGATGGGGGCACACAGAATGAAGTAGGTGGATTTTCCATGTCCTACCTGCACAATGTCAAACCGTCACAAGTTATATTAAGTGGGTGTTTCGTGGCCTATTTACACTTGCTGTTCACACTTGGGCCTGTTGAATCCCATAAGAGTGCACTTAATGGCCTCATCCTACACCCCCACCCCCAACAATATTTTACCAGTAGCACTGGGGGTTAGGGTGACTCCAACAGGAAGATTGGCTGCTATAGCTGTGTGGGTTGGTGTTAGCTAGGTGGGGGAAGGTAGAGGATGGTGGGGATAGGAGGAAGGTGGGTGCAGGTTGACTCCTTAACAAGCCCCTTTAATCCAATCAGAGGCAGTCTGTCAAAGGTCATTCCACCCCTCCCTCTTTAATGCTGGCCTCAGCCCCACCACCCCTCACTCAGGCTTCCTTTCTAAGACCCCTGGCCCTGGATCTCAGACCCACACACAAAGGAACCCAGTTATCTGTCGTCGCACCATTTATGACTGGTACTGCTGGGACTACAATGCTGGCAGCTCAGTGGGACTTTCCACTGAGATGGGGCAGAGGTCGTTTCTTAAAGTTATTCACACTGCTCCCACCACTACTTTATTGAGGAGCAACTATTGGTACTATGGCCAAGCTCCCCTAAACCTTTTGCTGGGATGGGGTTGCATGGGATCCATGGCACCTCATAAACCCCAGCGTATATAAACCATGTGCTGCATTTGGCACTAATTTCTAGCAGGTATCCGTTCAATATTTCTGTAGGTACATCAACGGATGTGTAAAGAGTCAGTACCTGTGAGCTGTCTATCACTGAGAGGGACCACTTTGTAAGGAGAACTGGAAACATAAAGGAAACAGAGATTAAGTAAACATGTTTCAGAGATAGTTGTTCCATGGCACTAAGGTGACTGAAAGACTTGTGTATAATTCATGTGTGGACATTGGTGGCTAGGCCAGTACTTATTGCACAGAGGCAGCTAAGAATCACCATGTTGTTGGAGGCCAAGAATCACCATGTTGTTGGAGGCCAAGAATCACATGTAGGTCAGACCAAGTGAGGAAGGCAGCGATATCAGTAAACCAGATCGGTTTTTGATAACATTTGACAGTGGTTACATGGTTGCCATTCAGCTACTTTTTATTCAAGAATTTTATGGAATTCAAATTTAACCATCTTCCACAGTGGGATAGTGAACCTCTGATATCCCGACTAATATCTTGGGGTTCTGGGTTCGTAGGCCACCAGAGTATATCTATGAATTGCTCAAAGTATATATTTACAAATTCTGATGTAATTACAGCACTTTTGATAACATTTTCTTGAACATATTCAATGTACTTTTTAACATCTTAATGTATTTAAAATCTGTCCATTAGAGGGCGTGTCACATCCTAACAAAAGGAACATGCAATGCACAAATTCAAAATGGTGATCCCTTGTATGTATATATATATATATATACCCTAGAGAGGTTTCTGATTGACTTCATCTCAAAACAAAGTTGATGAGCTGGAGAAACTGCTATCCAAGTTGCCTAGTTATAACATTGTCTTGTCACAATATTAGTTGTCCTCCATTGGTTTTACTGTGTAGATGTTACACTAGCATTGCTTTGGTCTAAACCTTCATATAAAAGTTCAGATAATCTTACCTTGCTGAGTTAGTTGGCATAGTTGGGTCTATGGATATAATAGCATTGTTTTGGTCCATGAGCATGATCAGTGTGTTCCTAAGTAACAAGACAGAATAGAGAAAGAGACAGATTCTTCATTGATAGGTCACATACACATTTGTATACTTGATTTTCCTAGTCAGGACAGCCAGCAGGAAATAAGGGGAGATGGTGGCATGGTGGTAATGTCACTATATTAGTGATCCAGAGGTGCTCAGGTTAAAACCCCTGTAGATGTGGGTTCAAATCCCATGCAGATGGAATAATAAATGAAAACTGGAATTGAAAGTTAATCTTAGTAATTGTGACCATGAAATTGTCATGCATTTTCTTTTGTAAATACACACCCAAATCACTAATGCCCTATTTGATCATGCCTACATGTGACTCCAGATCCATAACAAGGTGGTTGGCTCTGAAATAGTCTGAATGGGTTTAGAAATAGATAGGTGTTTGATAACCAGAATGGTCCAACTGGTATATATGTTATATTTATAAATGGAGCAAAGGGCCTCTTTCCATGCTGTAAGACTCCATGACTCTAGAAGCCATGCAGAGGCATTACGGAAGGGTAATAAATGCTTATCTCATGAAATAATAACTCTTAAAAAAGTCCTCGGTTGCCAAGAAAGAAGAAATTGCCAGGACCCATCTCTTGATTTTTTCATATAGGCAAAACATTTGAATGTTTTGAATGCAGGATGAGCCAATACAGACAGCTCCACATTTCTTACAAGCATACTTATTGGTTGTAAAGCATCTTGCAATGTTCAGACGACATGAAAGATGCTACACAAATTACAGATCTATTTCTTCCTCAGAATTATAGCTGCACTCTATATCTGCAGTGAATGAATTAGCACAAGTTTAAATTGTTGCTTATCTCAGACTGAATATACAATTTTCACCATCTTTTCTTTAAGTGATGGTGTAAAATAAAACAGGTAAGTTCTTCATCACAAAAAGATTTCATTTAGATGACGCAACTCCGCCCACCGCCGATGCCGACGTTGCTCCGCCCACAGCCTCCACAGCCAGCAGCCCCGGAGGGGATAATAGCACCCAGCCCTGCCGAGTCTTCACCATCCCCCCAGACCTACCCCTTACTGAGGACGAATGGTCAGTCCTCAGCAAAGGGCTCACCTTTGTCCCCCTCCACCCACAGATCAACGAATACCGCTCACGCTTGGACATATAGCAGTTTTTCCGCCACTTCCACCTCCACGCTTACTTCTTCAACCGTGAGCCTAACCCTCCCTCTACTGACCCCTTCTCCCGCCTCCAACACACCCCCTCCTCCTGGACACCACCCCAAGGCCTCCTACCCTCCCTTGACCTCTTCATCTCCAACTGCCGTCGAGACATCAATCGCCTCAACCTCTCCACCCCTCTCACCCACTCCAACCTCTCCCCAGCAGAACGTGCAGCCCTCTGCTCCCTCCGCTCCAATCCCAACCTCACCATAAAACCCGCGGACAAGGAAGGCGCAGTTGTAGTATGGCGCACTGACCTCTACATCGCCGAGGCCAGACGCCAACTCTCCGACACCTCCTCCTACCGCCCCCTTGATCATGACCCCACCCCGAGCACCAAACCATCATCTCCCAAACTATCCACAACCTCATCACCTCAGGTGACCTCCCACCCACGGCCTCCAGCCTCATCGTTCCCCAACCCCGCATCGCCCGCTTCTATCTCCTTCCCAAAATCCACAAACCTGAATGCCCTGGTCGACCCATTGTCTCCGCCTGCACCTGCCCCACTGAACTTATCTCCAACTATCTGGACTCCATTTTCTCCCCCTTGGTCCAGGAACTCCCTACCTATGTCCGTGACACCACCCACGCCCTCCAGCTCCTCCAGAACTTCCAATTCCCTGGTCCCCAACACCTCATCTTTACCATGGACATCCAGTCCCTCTACACCTGCATTCCCCATACAGATGGCCTAAAGGCCCTCTGCTTCTTCCTGTCCCGCAGGCCAAACCAGTCCCCCTCCACTGACACCCTCATCCGCTTAGCCGAACTCGTCCTCACCCTCAACAACTTCTCTTTCAATTCCTTCCACTTCCTACAGACAAAGGGGGTGGCCATGGGTACCGCATGGGCCCAAGCTATGCCTGCCTCTTTGTAGGTTACGTGGAACAATCCCTCTTCCGTACCTACACTGGCCCTAAACCCCACCTCTTCCTCCGTTACATTGATGACTGTATCGGCGCCACCTCGTGCTCCCACGAGGAGCTCGAACAGTTCATCCACTTCACCAACACCTTCCACCCCAACCTTAAGTTTACCTGGACCATCTCTAATACCTCTCTCTCCTTCCTGGACCTCTCTGTCTCCATATCGGGCAACCACCTAGAAACCGATATTCATTTCAAGCCCACCGACTCCCACAGCTACCTAGAATACTCCTCCTCCCACCCACCTTCCTGCAAAAATGCTATCCCCTATTCCCAATTCCTTCGCCTCCGCCGCATCTGCTCCCAGGATGAGGCATTCCACTCCCGTACATCTCAGTTGTCCTCGTTTTTCAAGGACCGTAACTTCCCCTCCTCGGTGGTCGAGAACGCCCTCAACCGTGTCTCCCACATCTCCCGCACCTCATCCCTCACACCCCGTCCACGCAATAAAAACCAAAAAAGAATCCCCCTCGTCCTCACGTACCACCCCACCAACCTCCGGATCCAACGCATCATCCTCCGACACTTCCGCCATCTGCAATCCGACCCCACCACCAAAGACATCTTTCCCTCCCCACC